CTGCCTTTCACTCACACATTCAAACGCACAAATCTCCATTAACCCGCACCTGCCCTACTGCCACAAACCGATCAATAATCTCAGTCAATAACATCTGCGGTCATCTTGCTGCTGTAATCAAACTCTGCTTTGCTTCAAGTGATCACGAGTCGACCCACGCAATACTCCAAACATGCACACAAATGTGCCCTAATCTCTTTAAAGCCGACGATCACAGCCTTGCTGCTTTCAAATAATCAATCGTTTCCAATCAATGCACGTATTGATCGGAGTTTAGTGGAATCAGACGTAGAGGCCGGTGAATCTCGGCACAGTTTGTCCTTTACTGTGACGAAAGCAAAAGCTTTTTGGGCATGATCCTTTTTGAGACGTCAACATTTCTGTTTTAAAAGTCGTATTTTCTCTTGACATTCCGTTTCTTGGTGAGGATCCTTCGCAGATGTCAAATTGCCTCGTCTGTCTCATGAGCATCGCACTCGCAGAACCTTTACGGACTGCATGATTTGACGTCAGGAGTAGCTTTTGCCATTTGTACCGACCACCGTCCTTTTCTTTTTTTTTTCAGCGGTGGTCAGCGCCATTCCGGTGCCATCCCTCGATTCCTCTCAGTATCCCGGTATACTTCCTTCGCCTTCGTGCAGCTTCAGCCACACCAAATTCAGTTTAAGACCGATGCCTTTCCCCAGCCTGACTGTGGACAGAGGATACACGCAAGGTAAAACCGCAAAAGCTCATCAAAGTCGGAAACACAAACCCGCTGTGGTAAAATACGCCAGAGGAACCGCGGGGGATGGCCGACCGTCGTTCGGAGCAAATCGGGTTCCGGCCAAAGTTGCCATTGAAAAATGAATCGATCCGGGTCCTCTTTTATTTCAATTTGCGGTCTTGGCGTGGAAAAGCGGATCTACGTCGCGCTTCTTTTCGCGGTGTGTCGCCATCTTGGATCGCATCACACAATGCCACAGGACGGAATAAATCAAATGAACCGAGCTAACCCTGCGCGATGAGTGTTCCTCCCATCATGCTCCTTGTCTTATTTGAGACCATTTTACTTGCGAGCCAAACGATGCCGTTGGGAGCAGTAATTCAATCACCGCCTAATTTCTTGTCAGCTCGTACCAATGGCTCGGCGAGAAACAATAAGAAGCTTCAGAGTCATTCAATTAGCCGACACCCTGGGAGGAGGACCGACCGCTGGCAACAGAATGCGGTTACAACGCAACCGTCAAGGGGCAGACAAAACCATACTTGAGCCTCTTGTCCATCACACCTCGTGTGACATTATAAACAGCCCCGGGCTGTAGGCGCTTGAGTGTTTGGAGATTTCACAAGTCCTTGATAAATTCATTCAGACCTCCAACTTTATCGGACTAACATCTATGTGGTGTTGGGGGGGGTGGGGGCGATCGACCGCAATATATGGAAAGTACCCGCTCCCAATTAGGTTTGTTAAAAGGCTGGTTCAGCCAGCTCTCATTCACAAGTCACAAATGTTGGGTAACATTTAAAATGTCATTGCCTACCTGGCTGTCCAATTTGACAACATTTAATGACGTCAAATTGGGGGGGAAATAGCCTGCGGTATGCGGGAGTGTGGTCGACAGACATGATGTATATGCGCTTCATTTGTTTACTTGAGATAAGGTCAGCGAAAAAGAGAAAAATAATGCCTCATTTGACGTCGTCGCCTGAAACATTTTGTTATCCTTCACATTTTTTGTGTTGCACTTTTGTCTTCCACTTTGAGATGGAGCCCGTCCAATTTGTCTTTGACAAAGAGACGGACAAAATTTCCTGAGTGCTCGACAAGTCGAAATATGAAAACGGTTTTTAAGAGGTTGTCCTTTTTTTTTTTTTTTAAAAGGCCATATTACAACGTGCTTCTGCATTACCAGAAATCAAGGAGAGGCGTTTCAGATGAAATATGTGCACGGCAACACATCAAAGCTGAAATCTGATTTCAGCTCCCCACTCCCAGCTGGCTCCGGTCTTCACAGAGCTATGAAGTGATGTTTTTGTACTTCCTCCTGCCTTACGTGTATCCTGTGTTCTTTCCTCTCTGCCATTGGTCTGTGTGGCCTCATCTACGCCTTCGTCAGTCATATCCACGGACGCTTCCACCAATCCGCTTCTGCAGCAGCAGTCCCCGCCTCAGCAGCCGACTCCCCTCCTACCTGGCTCCTCCGTGAGCGCCGGCGAGCATGTTCCAAGTATGGGCCCGGTTCCCGGGGCCCCCGCTGCCACTCCCGCCGTTGCATCGGAGGAATCCCAGGCGGCGGGCGCGAGTCGGACTATCCCGACCGCATGTGTGCGACCAAGTCACCCGCTGAGAAGCTTCACGAATCCACTCCTGCCGCCACCGATGAGCACCATCGACCCCAAGGTGTACACCTCCATGCTGCCGCAGTCCAGTAAGTACAAATGCTTTCTTTCGACATTGAGTCTCGCTTCACTACACGCCCTCGCCGCGTATGAAGAGTAGCCTTGAATATTTTGTGAAGGTTTAGGCATTATGTTTCTCCAAATTACACAAAGTGTGGATTATTATTCTTCGTTGTTTTCCTTAAAATAATCTCCAAATATGGAGAGCGTAGCTCAGGTGTTTCGGCAGGTGGTCTGATGTGTATGAGACTCTCGCGTTTGTGCAGATATTGTTTTTGGCCACTTGGGGCCACCATCCTTACCTTCGACAGTCTTGTATGTGTGACCATGGTGACTGTCACTTTAAAAGCACCAAGCCTCTGCTGCATGACTGGCAGGTAAACATCGGCCATCACATGGCTTTTGTTTGCCAGTGGTGTTTTTTGTTTTTTTTTTTAGCTACAAGCCCCGTAACATTCAAAAAAAGCTTGGGAACTTGTTACGCTGTTGGCGGTTGTACGAGAAGAAGTGCAACCTGTTAATTTGCAGATTAAATGGCTATAAAATAAATGCCGTTTATGAAGCCTGAACTAGTTGTTCAACATGAGTCAAATTGATGTCGCCTTCAACAAATGTACAGCATGTCTCTTGCCGCCATTCTTTCTTATCACGTGCAGCCTGTGAGCCAAAATCACCGGACCGCGTGCGTACTTTTGCGAAGGCATAGCTGCAATACGCTTGTGGATTGCGTCGGTGGCGATGACCAGCGTGCGTGGGCGTGCACTTCCATTATGGTTCTGTTTACACGCCCAGGTGGCCTCAGATTAACATTGATTTTCAGCTCCGAGGAACCTTTTGCACGGAAAAAAAGCAAGCCCGCGGCGCTACTCGGCTCATCTAAAGACCCTAAGAACGACCATCAAAGGCCTCCATCAGCCCACAATCCTCCCGGGCGCCCCACAATACCTCCACCATCCCCCCCACACACACACACATGAGCCCACACAAAGTCTCCTAACAAGGCAGAATAATGCTGCATCAAGCCAGCGCGTTTGTTTTTAGTCTTGTTTATGTTTATCCTGGGGTGAATGACTCCCTCGGTGCAAGCAGATTTCTTTTTTTTGGGGGGGGTGGGGGGGGTTGTGTTTGTTTTTTTTTCTTTTAATTGGACTCTTGTGGTGAGGTGGGACTATGAGAACCACGGCCATACATTTTTTTTTTTTAAGATAAACATCATGCTGAACATTAGGCGGACTCTTCCGACGTACAAATTAGGTCGAAGTGGATGCATGTGCTCAAACGTTTTCAAGTGAATTCGAAGTTAAAGCAAAATTGCGTCCTCGCCTGTCCTTAATTTGGGGCTTTCGATGCATATGAGCTGGGAAGGGTCTGCGTGTGTAGGGGAGCGTCGAGGGGGGCGGGCGGGGAGTTGCGTTTTATGGTGGAGCGGTAGAACTGTAGCTTACATTTTCAAGACATTTTAAAATCAAGAACTAAATGGGCAACTTTGAATTTCTTTCGGATTTTCTCTCAATCCGAGCAGAATCCGTTATGCGTCGTCACAACGGTGAGCAAACAAACGCTTTATACGACGTTTAAAAAAAAAAATCTTTTTCTCTCATTCAAATTACAAAGATAACATTTTTATGTTTTCAAAAATTTTAATTGGACTCTTGTGGTGAGGTGGGACTATGAGAACCACGGCCATACATTTTTTTTTTTTAAGATAAACATCATGCTGAACATTAGGCGGACTCTTCCGACGTACAAATTAGGTCGAAGTGGATGCATGTGCTCAAACGTTTTCAAGTGAATTCGAAGTTAAAGCAAAATTGCGTCCTCGCCTGTCCTTAATTTGGGGCTTTCGATGCATATGAGCTGGGAAGGGTCTGCGTGTGTAGGGGAGCGTCGAGGGGGGCGGGCGGGGAGTTGCGTTTTATGGTGGAGCGGTAGAACTGTAGCTTACATTTTCAAGACATTTTAAAATCAAGAACTAAATGGGCAACTTTGAATTTCTTTCGGATTTTCTCTCAATCCGAGCAGAATCCGTTATGCGTCGTCACAACGGTGAGCAAACAAACGCTTTATACGACGTTAAAAAAAAAAATCTTTTTCTCTCATTCAAATTACAAAGATAACATTTTTATGTTTTCAAAAATTCTTTCTAACCACGCGTAAATCAATCTTGTTTTGCTGCCGGTGACTCCATAAATATGCATCTAAAAATGTCATCTCAAATGATGCTCCCGTTCTCCTGACAGGCAAACAAACGGCTTCCTTTTTAATTTTGTTCTTCGTCCATCTTCCAGGTCATCCGGATGGCCCGACAAGAGCCGTCGACATGCTTTGCCGCCATATCTCATTTCCACTTACGTTGTAGTCGCCACGAATTCATAACATTGTCTGACGTGGTTCATAGCAGCGATGGTGCAACCTGCCGCAGATTGACAGCGGGGTTTTGTTTGAACCGTCGCGCAAAGTGATATGACGTGAACATGCACGCTGTTGTCAAACAGCAAAAAAGGATACGCATTTAATGGAAAACAGGCTGTTGGATATGTTGCTGGCAGATTGGTTCACTGACACCGAAGACGGGTGTGCTTTAATTCGATTTTGATGAGGAGGGAAAAAAAAATGAAACTCTACATAATCTAAATTGAAAACAGTTATGCGGCGGCACCTTGATTTACATGAGCCCTTAAATGTCGCTCTTTATAAGATAATAACAAATAACATTTAAACACACAAAGAATGTACAGCAGGACAGTGGTGAGCATGTCTGCCTCGCTGTCAAGAGGTTCTGGGTTTGAACGTCTTTATTTACATTATTAGCTTCATGGAAGACTCCAATTTGCCCATTGGTGGGAATGGGAGTGTAAATTGTATGTCAATATAGTGGTGCCCAATTTGGGGTGGACCCCACTTGTCCCCAAAGGAAGCTGGGATGGGGTCCGACTCACTCGCGATCATCATGAGGACGCAGCTCCTCTGGGAGTGCTGGGCAACGTGTTGTAGGGGCCATAGGAAACGGACGGATCAAACAGACGCGACAAAAATACACCGACGCCGAAAACAAGGAAATCCCAAACTCCTCCGTGAGCTGTTGGAAGTTGACTGCGCCTCCAGAGACGCCACGTCTTCTGGACGTATACTTTGAGTCTTTTACTGTATTTACTTCCAAGCATCCTCGGGATCAATAAGAGCTCCCCCCTCCATCTTCAGCTCGCGGTGCTTTATATCTCTCAATCTTTCACCTCGGCCCAGAAAAACAGACAGACGGCACTGATGTGACCCCCTGGCAGTCATTTCACACCTTCACTCTGACGTGTTTGGTAAATATATCCACCTCTCTTAGCAGACGAGCCGCCAATCTACACCCACCTCCACCTTTCACTGACAAATCCCCCGGGATTCAGCCATACACCCACCTCCACCTTTCACTGACAAATCCCCCGAGACTCAGCCAGACACCATAAAACTGTCTTTTATGGGGGCGGGAGGGTGGTGGGGGGGTTCTACTGTGGATGTGGAACCGACAGAGGCATAATGCTGCAGTGCATTGTGGGTTACCCAGCAAGTGTTTTATTTTCTAGTGCTCAAGTCAGTGAGTTTGGTCCGCCACCAGGTGCACAAGTGTCATGCAACTCTTTTTGTTGCACGACATTTTAAGCCTTCAACCAGATTGCTCGGATGTCCTTTGCTCACAGAATATCGGAAGATAGGAATATGCCATATGGAGTGATGTATTGATGAGTCGTTTTATGAAACCAATTCTGGTCACTGAAGGGTCTGTTTGTCAGTCTGTCTATTTGTTTGTCCTGTTGGAATTCCCCCCACCCCGCCCCCCTTCTTGTCAAGTCCATTTGTGGTCCCGGATGAATTGGTCGATGGTTAGTCGGTCAGACAAATGACTGCGGGGCTCAGACTTCCGTTTCTTGTTTGACGGTCCACTTAGTCGCATATGAACATCGTCATTTAGAGCAATCAATGTCAGTTGTGTGTCATCACATCAAACTGACCCCGCCGACGCGTTCAGAGAGCGGATTGTTCCCTCGATACGGCTTGGCGAGATGCCGCTCGGCAACATTTTCGGGCTCGATCGTCTGAAAACTCACCTATTGGCTGTTCTGCGCTCAGGCCAAAGCCTCGTCCGCGATCAAAAGACTGCTGTGGCCCCGTCTGGTTGCATCGAGGTTCAATTATTTTGAACTGAGCGGAGAGCTTTCATTCATTCGGGCGACAATCTCGTCTAATATGTATAATAATAATTCAGTTTTTTGTTGTTTTTGCCATTGGAAAAACATACGCACCTCAATCCCTCAAACAAATGAAGTAGACATTTGATTTGTCTGGCCTCAGTCGCCTCGGTGGTGTGTTGAAGTCAAACGTCTTCCCTTTTTCCACAGCTGGAAGCCTTCCGAAGCCTCAGGTGAAGACGGCTTCTCTGGGTCAGGCGGGAAAGGCTCGATCGCCTCTGCTTCCCGTCTCAGTTCCGACGGCGCCCGACATACCGGAGGAAGGAGGAACCAAACCCACGGAGGATTCAGCTGCCAACGTAAGTCGAGACCAAAGCCGGGCTGCAAATGTTGACGACTGGCCCACAACATGGGAGAGAGCTTTTGTAGGGGGGGGGATATTTGGGTGAGAAGGAGGCAGAGGAGAGCGGAAAGTAAAGAGAAAATCTGATGGGGTGCCGGATGTCGAAACTTGTTAAATATTCATATCTACTCAATGACAATAGAACAGGACAAGTGGTTGCCATGACGAAAAAAAAAAAAAAAGGAGAGAGAGAGGACAGAATATGAAAAAAACGGGAAAGTCCAGAAACAAGAGAAGGAGGAGGCGGATGAGAGGATGAAGGGAAAAAGAAGGGCGGATGGGGCGGTCGCCATGACAACAGGAGTGGAGAGGCTCTTGGAGAAGGACAGAGAAGAGTGAAAGGAAAAGCCGTTGAAACGAGACGTGTCAAAAAAGGAATCGGCTTCAGAGTTTGTGTGAGGGGGGTCAAAGGTCAGCAGTGCTTTTTCTTGACTTTCTGCTCTATCCGGCGTTCGCTCGCAACTCCTCCTTCCATAAGGGGAGGACTTTAAGGCAGGCTAAAAAACATATTTTCTTTTTTTTTTTTTATTGTTGTCTTTATTTTCGTGCGCCTAAATCGAATGTCTTGGAATTTGACAAAAGCACCATACGGATTAGTCGTACCAAATTCCAATTTCCTTTTTGCCAGCAATTCTCGACATGAACAACCAAAATAAGGACTGAGGTGGAATCTTCTGAAGTCTCCTGTCATTTGCTACACCTACAACCCCCCCCCCCCCCCCCCCTTCGCTCATGAAGATCTTTTGTGTACTGCTGGGTAACAGACAGTGAATCCAGGTCAGCTGGCAATCAGGGACAAAATGAACGGCCGTTTGGTCCAGTCGATGACGAGGTCCGGGTCAATACCTCCGATCAAAAAAAGAACTCTGCTCTTAAAAGCTGCTTTTTTTTCCTCTCTCTCGCTTCATTGGAAGTGGACGATACACGACAGTGGACAGCGAGGGTTTTATCGCGCCGCAAAGTGTCCTTTACGTGAAAATCTCGTGAGCTGCGACGAAGCGAGCCTCCATTTGCGCAGATGACTCGAGGCCTGGCGCCACCTTCCGGGCGTCGTCGGCATTTGTCGTGAGCTCCAAGTAAGGAGGCGACTCAGAGCGTCACTCGCTCGGAAAAGAAGACTTGAATACGTTTTGAAACCATCAAAGGATCGTATTTATTCATCATCGTTCATGAAAAAAAACGAACACATTCCCAATAATTTGTCCGTAATTGCCGCCAATTTTTTTCCTCCGACGACAACATTTCAAGATCCGCGCCGTGTAACGAAGGACCCGTCCAGTGAGCGTCGCCTGGCGAGGACACGTTTGGCCTTACGACGACACTCTTAAAACGCTGCGTTTGTAAGAGACGAATATGCGCGCCCATCACCCAACGACACGGGCGCCACGGCTTTCAAACCCGACTCACTGAGAGCGCGGCATCTCTCCAGCTTCAGCTGACGCCTAATTAGCCAGCGCGCCGAGAAGAGTGGGCGCTTTGAAGTGGAGCTCGCCCCCGGCGTTTTCGCCGTCCTCCGGCAGGTCGCGGAGGTGCTTTCACACAGGAACTGAGATTTCGGAATGTTTTTTTTTTTTTGTGTCCATTCTTTCAAAAGCGCAGCCTTGATTTTTTTTTTTTTTTTGTCCATTCTTTCAAAAGCGCAGCCTTGTTTTTTTTTGATGGAGCAGCCGTCACCGTCAGCATGAAGTGACGTTTTCTCGAATGTCTTTGTAAGGGCCGCTTGAAGGACAACGCACTCCTTTTCATTTCCTTGCTTGCATTTTCCGCTGTTTTAGATTTCTGTCATGAGCCTTTGAGATCTATTCTGTTACGTCATGTTGTTATTCTTCCCCTCCCCCCCCCCCAAAAAAAAGTCATGACCACAAAACGGTTGCCCAAAGGCCCTTGTCATGTGTCCATCACGAGACGAGGCTCATCACGTGACCGTATTCTTAAAGGGACTTCAATTGGAGTAAAATTGTCGCCGGTCCTCTTTGGTATTTATCGGTAGGCAAAGCTGTCGCGCGCTCTCCCTTTGGTGGCCCCCCGCTGTCGCCGAAGTCATCCATTTACAAACGTTTGCGCCGGGAAGGCACGCTACAGGTTCTTGAGTGGATCGGGGAAAAGATGGCGTCCAAGTTTGAAAACACTCGAGTTGGGCGTGATGCCTTCAAGTCTCCTCATGACGCTTTGTGTCAGGCCAACAGTCATGCGGCGTTCTTTTTGTTTTGTGTTGTTTTCTTGTGCTCTGTTTTTCAGGTGTACGAGCAGGACGACCTTTCGGAGCAGATGGCCAGTTTAGAAGGGCTGATGAAGCAGCTCAATGCCATTACCGGCTCGGCCTTCTAAAGCCTCCGTTTTTGAAGCCCTCGCCCATCCCCCCCCACCCCTCGTCCGTCCCCCCCAAAGCAGGAACGCTTCTTCAAGCTTTGATGTCGCCGGCAGTGCGTTGACAAACGGCCGCAGCGTGTCGAGTTTGAAGCTGCCGCCGGGGACCGCGGCCTTCCCCTTTCAACTGGATTCAACCCCGTCCGACATCATCCACTGCAGGAACAAGACCGTGATGGAGGGGCTTCCTCGGTGGGACTTTTCAACCTCAAACTAACAAAACTAGGAAGACCCAATGCCCACCTCCTTGACTCAATGAAACAGAGGGCGGGGCGTAGGGGGGGGCGGGATCACAGAAAAGGAAGACATTTTGACGATCTTTCCGCTTTCTCTTCTTTGCGGTATTTATTAGCTCCTCATTATTCTCCTCCGCAACTCGGTTACTGTGACTGTACCTCAATTCCTTTTCATGACTGCCCTTGGGCGCGTTCCCCCCCCCCTCCCCCACTATTTCGACTCCGCCTTCACACAGCGCATTGAGGCAACGTGAACTTGCTTTGCCGCACGGAACAGTCGGTGTCAAATTCTTCAAACTTTCTGCATTTCTTTTGGTCTTGCCTTTTCCTGCCGGAAGGCCTCTGACATTTTGGGGCCCCTTTTCCATCCGTCAAGGTTTCATCCTTCCAAATGCGGAGCCCCCTTTTTTTTTTTTTTTTTTTTTTTTCTGGTTGTTGTTGTTGTTTCCTTAAATACCGGAGCTCTGGCTGAACAGAAAACTCTTTGGTTTGTTTTTGCCGACTCATCTGTCGACTGGGCATCGACCGCCGCTCTTGACGGAGCCTTTTGGTCCCGCGAGACCGGACAAACTCTGCAAACGGGCTTGACGGAATAAGTGTTGTTGCCAAAAAAAAAAAAAAAAGGGAAGCTCACAACAGCCTTCTTTTCAAATTCAAGGCCGACATTTTCACTGACAGTTTTGTACTGGCCGTTGGCGAAACACAGTCCGATCATCAGGATGGAAGAAACGGCGCCATACTTGGTGGCGGTCTCACTTTGGACCACCACAAGTCTGTCAGTTGAATGTTGGTGCGAAGGTTTATTCCAAACAATCGTGAGAATCTGATGATTGCCTATTTTTTTAACTTATTTTTCACTGCCAGTATTCATGTTCAATGGGGGAGGGGGGGGGGTCTTCTTCATGAGTTCCTGTTAACAAACATTTGTACCGTCTTCAGTCTCGCGTGCCCACACGGTCACAACTTCAGTTTGCGTTCACTTCAGTGGGGGCCTGCTTTTTATATCGAATCAGAAAAAAAAAAGAAACATGAACGCAAACATATTTTGCAAAGGTATTTTTGACCGTTTCTATTTCGTTTGACAAATTGCCAACAGCGCGGCGGGCGACCGGTTAGCACGTCCGCTTCACGGTGGAGAGGTGCGAGGTTCGAGGTTCGATTGCGGCCTTCCTGCGTGGAGTTTGCATGTTCTCCCTGTGCCTACTTTGCCCACATTCCAAAAAACACGCATGGCAGGCCGATTGAACACTCGAAATTGTCCGTCGGTGTGAGCGCGGATGCTTGTTCGTCTCTGCGTGTGCCCTGCGATTGGCTGGCAACCAGTTCAGGGTGTCCCTCCTGCCAACTGCCCGAAGACGGCCGGGATCGGCTCCGGCATGCCCCGCCACCCTCGTGAGGAGAAGGGGATGTGAAAGTGAAACCCCGCCAGCCTATTTGCGCAGACTCTTAAGCTGAAATGTGCATGTCCTGATGCGCCAGCAAAATGAATCACACCAAGATCATCAGGACAATTGTTTGTGCCATTTTAAAAACAAAAAATTTAATGCAAGCAGTTGTAATGAACCTTGCTCTTCAAATTTGCGGTGTTTTGGTCTCGGTTTGACCTTTATCACATCAGGTCAGCCGGGAAAGGAGAGCAGAGCGCGGCCTTTCAACTACTTTGTGTGGACAGCAGAAGGGAAATGTGTCCAATTGAACGGGTCATTAGCACAGCCTCCTTTTTTGTTTGCTGTTGCCAAGGTTCGATTGATTTATGAAGTTCTGCGGGGAAAAGCGGCGGCGGCCAGTTTTGGCAGCCATCTCTAAAATTCTGCCGTTTTTTTCCAAAACATCAAATAATCTTTGAGGAGCACATTTGTTTGGAGCTCGGGCGTGTGATGAAGCAACCCGAAAAAGGGGAACGAACGCTATTTTTGTGTGCGCAAAAACAAAAAAACAAAAGCGACTTAAAATGACGAGTCATTCATTAATCAAGTGAGGTGAAGAAAGCGAGCCATCAGTCGGCTCCGTATTTGACTGCGTGGCCCTATTCTCCATATTGTAATTGACAGACCTTTATCTGGGCGCGATGAAAAAGGCGAATCCTGCGGGAGGGAAGAGCGAGCGCGCTCAGGCGCGGGAGCCGCATTGATATTCAGAGGTGGCTTGCATGCGCGAGCGGGGCACGGAGGAAACGGGTGGCGAATTCATTAGAAAGACGTTGCAAACATTATGATTCAAGCTCACGCTC